GGTGGTCTGGTGTCCTCTGAGTCTTTGTAGTGTGGAACCAGGTGGCTGCCTGTCTGCAGCAGGGTGATTCGGTGTCTTCCGCGCCACTCAGGACCTCGGTAGGGCGTACACAGACCTGCCTGTCTGCAGCGGGCTGATTTGGCGTGTGTTCCTTGTGACTGGGGACCTTGGTAGGGTGTGGGCAGACCTGCCTGTCTGCAGCGAGGTGATTCGGCATCTTCCGTGTGACTCAGGACCTCAGTAGGGTGTGCACAGACCTGCCTGTCTGCAGCAGGCTGATTCGGCGTGTTCTGTGCGACTCAGGACCTAGACAGGGCATGGGCAGACCTGGCTGTCTGCAGCGGGGTAATTCGGCATCTTCCACGAGACTCAGGACCTCGGTAGGGCATGGGCAGACCTGCCTGTCTGCAGTGGGGTGATTGGGTGTCTTTCCCGCGACTGTGGACCTCGGTAGGGTGTGGGCCGACCTGTCTGTCTGCAGCGAGGTGATTGGGCATCTTCCGCACGACTCCCAAAGTGTCTTTATTACCTGCCTGGGACACTGATAGTTGGTCTCATGGATTCTTTAGAAGCCCAGAGTACTGTTCCCAGTTTTCGACAAAAACATGACAGGCCCAGGAAGGATTAGGCCAGGTTAGTAGGTCTCACCACACAATCCCTTTCTCTGAAATGGTCCTGGGAACCACTTGCAGGCTGGCTAAGAGCAGTGGAGTTGTTGTTCCTTCAGGGAACTGAAAGTCAAGTGAGGAAGAGGGAGCATGTGGACTGTGGGACTTGGCAGCCGACCTCTGCCTTCAGGAATTCTAGGACCATTCCTCAGGACCACTAGGACCGAAAAATTCATTTTTGACAGCATCAAAAAGGATACATATTTAGGAATATAGTTAATAGAAGAGGTAAAAGATCTCTACCATGAAAACTATAATACACTGATGAAAAACCTTGAAGTAGACACAAGTGAATGGAATGATATCTTATGTTTGGGGATTGGAAGAATATTGTTAGGATGTCCATATTACCCAAAGTGATATATAGATTCAACAAATCTCATTCAAAATTCCAACCATATTCTTTACCAAAAAAAAAAAAAAGTTCAATATCAGTGTGTAACCACTAAAAGTCCTAAGTACTTGAAGCCAAAGCAATCTTGAGAAAGAAACACTAAGTTGGAGGCATTCATTATACATCCTGATTGAAAACTATATTACCAAGCTACTGAAAACAAAAACAATATGATACTGGATAAAAAAAGACACATAGGCCAATGGAACAGAATAGATGCTTCAAAACTAAATGCAAATGCGTGTAATCAGCTGATTTTCAATAAGTCCATCAAGAAGGCATAATAAGGAAAAGATAGTCTCTTCAATAAATGGTGTTGGGGAAACTCAGTATTCACATACAAAAAAAATAAATTGGATGCTTATCTTACACTATACCCAATAATCAACTAACAAAGATTAAAGACCTAAACCATAAAACTTCCAGAGGAAAATATAGGGTGAAGAACTTCCCAAATATGTCTTGCAAATGATTTTTTCCTATATCAACAAAACCCTCCAGAAACAACAGCAAAAATTAACAAGTGAGACTACATCAAACTTAAATAACTTCTGTACCATAAAATATACCATTAACAAAATGAAAAGGCAGCATATGGACTGAGAAAAAATATTTTCACATCATATATATGTGTGTGTGTTAGTATCCAAAGTATATAAGGAACTCAATTCAATAGCAAAAAAACCTCAATTAATAAATGAGCAAAGGCCTGAATAGACATTTTTCCAAGGAAGATATGCAAAAATTTTCATTATTAATCACCAGAGAAAGGTAAATCAAAACCACAATGAGATACCACCTTGAAGTTGTCAGTTATTATCAAATAGTCAAATAGTAATAAACTTCAGAATGGCTATGGCATGGTTGAATTAGTACAGCCATTATGGATAACAGTATGGAGCTCACTCAAAAAAATGAAAATAGAACTACCATATTGTCCAGCAATCTATCTTCTGGGGATATAGCCAAAGGAAATGAAATCAGCCCCATGTAGACATATCTGCCATCTCATGTCTATTCCAGCATTGCTCCCTATAAATAAGATACTGAGACAATCTAAATCCATTGATTAATGGATAAAGAAATTGTGGTATAAATGTATACTGGAATATCATTCAACCTTAGAAAACAAAGAATCCTACCATCTGTAACAACATGGGTGGGTTTGGGAGGACATTATACTAAGGTAAATAAGCCAGATACAAAAAGAAATATACTGCATGATCTCATGTATTCATGAACCTAAAAATGTAATCTGGCCCTGGTGTCATATGCCTGTAATCCGAGCTACGCTAGAGAATGAGGCGGGAGAATCATAAATTTGAGGTCAGCCTAGGCAACTTACGAAGAACTTGTCTCAAAATAAAAACAAAATTTATTAATTAAAAAGGCTTGGAAAGTAGCTCAGTGGTAAAGTGCTTGTGTAGTACTTGGTTCAATCCCCAGTAAAGCCAAAACCAAAATGAACAAAAACAACAACAAACCGCCCCCCCCAAAACAACAAAAAAAACCCAGTGCAGAACAGGAGACTGAAAGCACTCTCTTTGACCAGAAGTGAATAAAGTCAGTTGGCAGAGTAGAAGAGAAAGGACAAGAAGCCACCAGCACAATTCTAACAATAGGTATATCAAAGGAGCCCATAGACCCCAGAGGCCACAACAGTAGCCAGTCCCTGCCAACCTTGTCCAATGTTACTTGAGATTTGTCCATGCCAGATCTACCTGGATATTACCTCACCCTTGAAAAGAAATGCTACTTCCACTTGGTCTCTGAAGATAACAACTGCAAACTCCTTATGCAGGAGAGAGTATTTTGCCTGGTGTCAGGGTAGGTATGGACCCCCATCTGTAGCACAGGCCTGGGATTGCTGTGCTGACATTGGGGAAGTGGAGATTGTCTCTTGCCATCAAGGCTGACGCTGAGCTGGGTTGTTTGCACCTGAGTCTCATAGCTGCAGGGACCTCCATAATCATGGTGGTGGGGTGGTCCAGCCTTGCTCTAGGGCTGGCAGTGATTTCTACCAAGGCCAAAGTCTATACAACCACCACTCAGATCTGCCTTATGCCAGTACAGGTCTGCAAGCTCTGTGAGCTCTAGTGTAGATGTGAGCCCTTTGGTTTCTATCTGGTGCTGGGTTTCAATATAGAGGGCTGACTGAGCTCCCAGACCAAATCCTAGACTTATTTTCCTTCCATTCTCCTCGGTGGGTAGAGCCTTCCTCCTCATTCTAGTGCCTGAGGTTGGATGAAACTGTGGAGGCAGGAGCTTTGCAATGGCTAATGCAGTTCCATCAGCTCAGTAGGTCAGTGTGGCTTGGTGGTAGGTCATGGGTTTTCCCATGGCGTACACACTCAGATCTGGGTTTCAAATCTAAAGCTTGGACATAATTCTCTTTCCCTCCCACAGATAGTAAGAGGCATCTGTTTCCTTGCTATACTGCTTGAAGTTGGGGGCAGGGTAACAGGCATCTCTTTCCTCCCTGCCTTCTTCAACGTGTCTTTTCTTTTTATTATACTAAAAGTGGGCACTGTGGTCTCCCACTTTGGTTCTTTAGCTCTTGTGGAAGTAGTTTTGTGGGTGAATGGGTGATTAACCTGTGCCTGTGGCAACACGATCACCAGAGGATCTTACTCAACTGCCATCTTTCTCTGCCTTCCTGTATTGAGTTTAACAAAGATGATATGCCCATCAACAGACACATGGACAAAGAAAATGTGGTAATATACACAACAAAGAACTACTCAGAGACAAAGGATAAATTTGAATCATTTATAGGAAAACAGATGTACCTGAGACCATATGCTAAGTGAAATAAATCAGACATAGAAAGTTAAATATTTCATGGTTTTTCTTATATGAGAAATCCAAAATATAAATGACTTGAAGAGCAAAATAAAAGATAGATGATAGGAAACAGGGAGGTCAGATTTGTAGAGATGGAAAGGGATCTGGAGATTGGGAGATGGAAGTGTGGGAAGGGGAGGGAAAGTAAAAATGATTAAGCTGCAATATGTACATGTACCAACTCCCAACAATGAATGCATTTGTTATGTATCTCAAACATATAGAAAGATGCAATATCCTTATCTTAAAGATATCAGTTCTCACAAATAGTCTGTAGATTTATGAAATTCCCCCTGAAAATCTCAAGCTGATTTTTTAAAAACTTGACAAATCATTTCCAAAATTTATGTGGGAGAGAAATGGCCAGGAATTGGCAAGACACAGCCACATAAGGAAATAATAAAGTGAGAAGCTTAGTCTAATGTATATCAAGGCATATTCCACACTTACAATGATTAATTCAGTCAAAATTATTGGCAGCAATACAAAAGCAAAACAATGGTAGAGAACAGAGAGCCTAGAAAGAAATCATAGCATAAATGGATTACATGGACAGAGGTGACACTACATATGGTAATGTGTAAAAGAAACTCCATTGCTTACTCTATGTGATAAGCAATGTTGGCGTAGTTGTTATTTGGTTGGAAAGAAAGGACATTAAATCTCTAATTCATTTTACATTCAAAAATCCAGATAGGTCAGGCCGGGGATTTACTTCAGTGCCTCTGAAGCCTGCCTAGCAAGCACAAGGTCTGAGTTCAATCCATGGTACCAAAAAAAAAAAAAAAAAAAAAAAAAAACCCAGATAGCTGGGCTAGGGATTTAGCTCATTGGTGATGCCACCTGCCTCATAAGTGCAAGGTCCTGAGTTTGATACCCGGTACCAAAAAAAAAAAAAAATCCAGATAGCTCAAGACATATACAGAAATGGAAAATTTTAAATGTGTAGAAGAAATTATAAGAAACATGTCTTTTGCATCTGGGGCATGAGGGGATTCACTTAAAGAGAATCAAATTGCCCTCACTCTTCAGAAATCACTAAATAGTCTGTGCAACTGCTTTTCAGAGATGTTTTTCAAGCCCTCATCCTGGCACCTGCCTTCTATTTTACTGGGAATACTCTGCTTTGGTCTATTTGTTGGTGTTACAGGGATGATAATGGTAAATCTCTCCGTATCTAAAGGTAAGTGACACAAAGGCATGAGTCTATATAAGACTTAGGATTAGGGGTGCTTCAGTGCATATCTTGGGTCTATTTTTCCAGTCTCAGGCATCCAGGACCCATCACTTGGGCCTTTGGGACCACATTACTCATTCTCCAAGCTGGCCCACAATAGCTCTTTGGAAAAATACCAGCCCTTGCTAGGCCCTTCCTACTGTACTTGGGGCTCAAAATAAAGAGATGGATGATTTTTAGTACATATAGAACTCATGCAAATTTCTAAGAAAAACAGCAAGATACTAATAAAAAAGTTTAAACATTGTTATAAACATGTCATAAAGGGGAAATAAAAGACTGACAATTAGATAAAATAATATTCAGTTTCAGATAAAATAATAACAACTTAAATCCCAAGAACTAATTTTTTGCTCCTAGTGATGATACTGACCCTTAATGATATCAGAACCCCACTTTCCTCTCCAAGCTGTCTTGTTTTATCCCAGATGGAGAAACTCAGGACAGAGATTGGGGGGTGTGGTAGAGTCACAGTAAGAGAGTCCTAGGGAAGCCCCTGCCCTTCATCCCACAGATCATTCACCTGAGTAAGGAGCCAGGTTTGTGATTGTACCTTACATGTGCTTAGGTTAAATGCTAAATATTCTGCTTTTATTTCAGGGAAAATCTCAGCAGAACTGAGTAAGTGTCTTGTCAGATTCTGAGCCTTCCACACATTTCTTCTGGCTTCTTTCCTGTTCTACAATATGAGCCACCTGTGTGTTACCTTGGCTGAAGACTGGACAGGAAGCATAGACAGGGCCAGGGAAGAAATTTATTTTCTTTCCTTATCCATTAACTAATGAATTGATCCTAAGACATATGAGAGGTTTAGGATAATCTTTGGAGTCTGGAGACCTCTAAATGCTTCTGAAAAATCTGTTTCTTGATACATTTTGTCAAGCAAAATCTATAGACTTCCAGAGTTCTCTAAGAGTATCAAACCCAGAATGGTGAGGAAACTGTGGGAATTTCCCTCAACTTCTCCCTGATTCTTTGTCCTGCCCAGATGCTTAGATCCTTTATCCAGACCTACCTCAGCCACTGAATATTCTGATTTTTGTGTTATGGAAAATTCAGGAAAAACTGGACAAAAATGTTATTGCATGCAGAGTTCCCTTGTTCTCCCCTAGGCTCTTGTTCTGTGATTTCAGGATTTTGTGTGTTTTTTTGTTTCAGATTGGAGAAGGACACATGAGACAGCAGGTGAGAAAGGCCATTCCTCTCTCCTTAACCCCATTACCTCTTTCTTACAAGTCTCTAGTTTATGAAATCTTATAATCTTCAGCCCATGGGATCATGAAGAGGCAAGTTTGTTATGAGTGATCTTGCAATTTTCTACAGTTATGGGGGTGGGTGTATTTTTTAGGGATTCCCTATAACCTTCATGAGATTTCTTCCCTTGTTTCTCTCCTCTTCCTGCCTCCTGTTCTCTATGTGAGCACTAACATGCTCCTTCTGCCCGCTTCTTTTCAGAGTGGGGAGAAGCCCAGAAACATGCAGGTATCAATGCCTGAGGGAGAGGGATGAGGAAGAGTCATGACTAAGAATAGATATGCAGCCACTTCAGCCTGGGGACAGTATCTCTTGGATCTGCCTCAGAATTCAGCCTATGAAGGGGTAGGGAAAGGACTGGGTCAGCTCAGTCAGGATGGAGGTCAAAAGCAGAGCTCTGGGGATTTGAGAGTACTAATGACTGGCCTGGAAACTGAATAGTGGCCCAGTAAAAGAAAGGCCTACATATAGAAATAGACGTAGGATTTGGGAGATGTACAGGTGCCATCGTCTCACTGTGGGGATCTCCAGGCATTTATAAAGCCCAGGGGTTGCCCTGGAGAACAGGGGAAGGTTGGAGGGGCAATGTTCCAGTAGAAACCCTGGCTCTGTCACCTTACCTAAATCCACAGTGACCCAGTCTGCATTGGGAAGAAGTGACCTCTGGGCCTAGTCCATGTCCCCTGCCTAATAACTCATGTTCTTTCCCCTGTGATACCATAGTGGAGGTGACTCTGGATCCAGACACGGCTCACCCACAGCTCTACATTTCTGATCTGAAATCTGTAATATTTAAGGAAGCTCCTCAGGATGTGTCCTACACAGAGAAGAGATTTAAGAGAAAGTGTGTGGTGGCTTCTCAGAGTTTCAAGACAGGACAACATTACTGGGAAGTAGATGTAGGACACAATGAAAGTTGGCGCTTGGGTGTATGCCGGGATGATGTGCACAGGTGGGAGGAAGATTTGGATTTGTCTCCCATAAGGGGGTACTGGGTTCTTCAACAGAGAGAAGAACATGACTATTTCATGTTAGATCTCCATAGAATTACCATTATTCCTGGAATCCATCCTACAAGAGTGGGTATCTTCCTAGACTGTGAATGTAGGATCATTTCTTTCTTCAGTGTAAATGATCAGTCCCTCATTTATACCATGGAATATCCATTAGAAGGCATGTTGAGGCCCTACATCCTGCCTCAAACCTATAAAGAGAGTGAGCTGACTCCCATATTCATCCCCTCTTTGTCTCATGAATGATAGAGAAGTCCTTTCCTAAATGCTCCAACCCCACTCATAGAACAGAGACCTCCCAGAAGGTGATCATGCTCTTCTTCAGGAGTGATTCTGAAAGGGAATCACAGCTCACAATTTCCTTTGGGCTACAAAAGTTACTTTCCTGGCCCCAGAACCTTGTAGCTGTCAGTAGTGATGGCTTCCAGATGAGGAGAGGTAGGCTTATGCATGTAAAAGTGAGGTGAAGGGTGAAGAAGGATCACATTGTATTTCATTTGGACAACTGCATCAAGCTTAGTCACAATCTCTCAGACTCCCACCTGTCAGTCAAGAACAGTAACCCATCTGAGCTGTCATTGTGAAGAGTAAAAAGATAATGAAGATGAATCATGTTTACATAAATGGCACAGAGTATCCTAGTAATTTGTTCATTATATTATACTTTCCTCAACATGATCTTTATTTATTCTACATCACTTCTTTTTTATATATTCCAAGGCACCTTTTCTATATTAGGTTCAAAATATTAAAGTGGAGGAAACAATTTCCAACTCACTGGATAGAATTAGCATTACCTTGATATTATAACAAAAGATATATTTTCTTTTGAAAATGACAAGTCCATGTCACCATTGAATGTAGATGCTGTGTCAGTTATTCTTTTGTTGCCGAGACAAAATAGCCAACACCCAAAGTTAAAGGGGAAAAGGTTTATTTGGCTTATAGTTTGCAGAGGTTTCAGTACATAATTGGCTAGCTCCTAGGCATTGCAGAAGAGAAACAACATGGTACACACAAAATAGGAAAAGGAACAAGAGACCTTAACAGCATCTTTCTGCCTTTTATCTTATTCAGACTTAATCATAGTGCCCTCGGGCCTAGCCTCACCATGAGGCAATCTTATACTCTAGATTCAGCCACATCTGAGAAAGTATGAGGCTTTTGGGGGACTTCTAAACACAAGCCATAACAGATGCATAACTTCTAGACAAAATTTTGGCAAATCCAATCCAACAATATATCTAAAGGATAATATATAACTATTAAATTTGATTATCTGAAGAATTCAAGGTTGGTTACTTTTCAAAGATCAAGCAGTGTAAGTCAATACATTAACAAACTAAAAGGAAGACCAAAATGGGGAAAAAAGAAAGGTCATCTGAACAATTGTGGGATGAAAAAAGCTTAGGAAATTTAACATCTATTATTGATACAATCTGTCATTAAAAAGACATATAAATGAATTTAAAAGCACATAAAGATATCCAGTCCCATTAGATGTTAACAATGTACAAATTAAAAGTGCAAGGCGATACTATTGCCACCATTTATTTTTGGCTAAAATAAAAAAGACTGAGCATAACAAGTTTTGGTGAGAACACAGAATGACTGAATCTCTCATGCACTGCTCATAGGAATGTAAAATAGTACACTCACTTTGGCAAAGAGTGTAGTTTTCCTTTAAAAATTAAACAGTCACTTACCATGTGATCCTGTCATTGCACGTTAAGTATTTGTCCAAGAGAAAAACAAATGCATGGATGATCATAGCAATTTTATTTGTATAGCCAAGAGATAGAAACAACAACAGATGACTGAATAAACAAATTGTGGTACATCCTTGAAATATGACACTACTCAACAAAAAAGGAAAAGAATTATTGATATACACATAATATGATTGAATCTCAAAATAATTTTTCCAAGTGAAAGAACCCAGACCCCTGCCCCCAAAAGAGAATATATGTTGGGTGATTTCATTTGTATAAACTCCAGAAAATAAAAACAAATCTATAGGGACAGCAAAGAGATCATTGCTTGGAGGAGAGAACAGTATAGCAAGGGGTACAAATAAGCATGCAGATATTTTTGGAGGTATGGATATGTTCATGAATTTGTCCTGATTGCTCATGGGTATGTACATAAATGAAAATATCGAATTAAATGCTTTAAATATGGTTAGTTTATTTTTATGTCAATTGTGCCTCAATAAGCTGTTTTTAAAAATAACAACAAAAGGAGGAAATATTAGGTTATTGTGATAGTATTTCCAAAACATCCTCTGGGTAACATGTTCACTTTATTGTTTTAAGAGACTTAATTTTTCAAAGAAATCTGAGGTTCACTGCAAAATTAAGTTGAAAGTACAGAGTTCTCATTTATCCTTTGCCCTCAACCCATCAGAATTCTGTGTGAAAGTGGTACTCTGGTTTCATCAAATAAACTTATTGACACTTTGTTATCCCGAAACTCTAGTTTCCATTAGAGTTCACCCTTCATTTTATATATTCTATGGGCCTGCACAAGTGCATAGTGACATGTATCCACTATTATAGTATCATACACAATAGTTTAACTGCCTGAAAAATCCTGTGCTCAGTCTATTCATCCTTCCTGTTCCTCAAACCCTGGAAACCACTATGAATACCATAGACCTTTCCAGGATGTCATACATTTGGACCACCTAGTAGAAAGTCTTTTCCAATTGGTTTCTTTCACTTAGTAATATGCATAGTCACATTTTTTTCCACCATATCTTTGTTGCTGATAATCTATTATCTACTTAATGATTTTCTTTTAAGTCCATCTGTCAGAAAACTCAAATCCTTTAACTTTTTTTCTAATACTAGTTCTCAGGAGAGGCAGGGAGTTAGAGGGTGAGAAAAATTAATGGAAACTAGGGAACACAGAAATTTTTCTCATAACTCTGAGAATAGTTCCCTAGTGTGTCCCACCATGTAGGAGGGGGAAGGGAATTGAGTGGCCTCTGTGCTTTTCTAGCTGGTTTTGGGCTCTCAGTGTGGGTTCAAGTTGGTTGGGAATCCCAGGAGATCTTCCCCTGGCCCAACTGTGGAACAATTTAGGTTCCGCCATACCCAAGAGAGCTTTTGCAGACCATGGTGTTTCCATGTATATGACCTAGAATTTTATATGCCTTTTTACCCACACTTTTTGTTCTTTCCAATACTTTGTTCTGCTTTCGCACCCCATGGAGAGCCTTGTAAGTAACTATCTACCCCAGCCTGCCCCTTTTTATGCCCAAAATCTCATCTGTGCTTTTTCTCTGAGATCGTCTTTTATCTCTAGGTATTCTTAGTGAGTAACTTTCTCAGGGAGCCATCCCAGTCCTTGTGGTTTGATCATGTTTGCTTACCATTTTTTTCTTTTTCAACTGAACTCATGGATACCAGGAAATCTTACCATTGTTGATAAGAGCTAAAGATTCTGCTTTCAAGGAATATATGGGACTTCTTCCCTCTCTTTTCTGAATCCCCTCCCTATTTCTTCTAACAGAAATTGAGGTAATTTAAAAATATGTGCCTGAGGGACTGAGCAACACAAACTCAACTGGCTGTGAGTATGCAAAAATAGAGCTGGAGTAAATAGGTAACAAGCCCTATTCTTGTATTTAGAGCTTTTATTTTTTCTCTTAAATGCTGAAAAAGAGGATTCTACTTCTACTGTTTTAAACAAATTGCCAAAGTTTGGGAAAATATTGGGGGAAATACTGTTTCCCACATGGCAAGATGGAGCCCTGAGGGCTACACCATGGCCTTTTAGTTTAATATTGCTGGTTGGAGTCCCAAGAATTCTGCTCTTCTCTTTAAGGAATCATACTGGGCCACAGGATATGGATAGTGCTAAGGGAAAAAAAGATGGAACAAGACACTTGTGCCACTCACTTCACCAGAGATATCACATAGTGCATTTGAATTTCACAGGGGATGCCCTGGGAACTCAAAAGATATGTAACCTTCTGTGGGGGACACACTCTGAAAAGTACCAGACCCAGTCTTCTCTCTTTCTCCATAAGCCCCACAATGTGCCATGGAAAATACCCTGCATATCCCAGGAACCTCACCATTAGGCTGTATCCTTAAAACTTGGAAACAATTTGATCCTGACAATCTGAATAAAGAACAACTTATCTTCTATTGCAATACAATTTGGGTTCAGTATGACTAGGAAATGATTAGAGATAGGTATGGAATGGCAGCCTAAATTTCAATACTGTTCTTCAATTAGATATTTTCTGCAAAAGTTAAGGAAAGTTGTGCAAAATCCCCTATGTTCAGGCTTCTGTGGCTCTTTGTCTCTGAAAAGACCCCAGTTTCCTCCAAGGAAGAGGAAATTGGTATCACTGATGATCCTGTCCTCAGATGGCCACCTGTTTCTCAGGGGTATATGAGTTTCTCCTACATGTTAAATGAAAATAACCACACTGGGTGGTCTCCTTGACCTCCTTCTTATAATCCTCAGGCCAGTAAATCAGGACCATCCTCTTCAAGTGACTCAAAAACTACATCAGATGCTAGGTCCCCCAAGAGAGCCAGTATTTCCCAGCCCTCTCCTCTTGCTCCTCAGACAGCTTCTAGTCCTGCACTACGTACTGTGGAATTTCTTACTCCTCAAACTCACTACTCATCCTTCCTCTAAGGGGGTCCTAAGAGCAGAGAGTATGATTTCTTTTTCAATGGTAGATACCCAACAGTGCAAAGAACAGATAGGACAATTTTCAGAAGATCCTGATAGGTTTTCAGAAGAGCCCCCAGACTCCCATGAACCAATTGCTGAATATGGGCTATTCTGCATTCAGAAATTGAGATCTAGGTGAAGGTTAAAGGACAAGAGCAGAGAAAAAAAATAAGGCAGGCCAAAATTATGGTGTCACAATTCCCAATGTTGTAAACACACCCATGTCATCCAAAGCAAAACCCAAGACCAATCAGGGAGAGTTTCTGCTTTAAATGCAAGAAAACTGGACACTGGGCATGCAACTGTACCAAGACACCACCCAAGCCCTGCTCTACGTGTCAGGTGACTGATGTGCCTGACTCATGGCCCTGGAGGAGTGACTGTACCTGTGAGAACAAGATGAACCCAAGAAATGCCATCTTGGCCTGTAGATGAACTCCCCTCATACCCCTCCCCTTATAAAGTAGATGTTTTTGGAACTGCTTGTTCTGCTTTTGTAAACTTGCTTCATCACTCCTTGGAAACAGTTGGTGCCTGGTGTCTCCTTTTAACCACAAAACATCCTAACCTGACAAGATAGCAAGATAAGATAGCTAGCTGAGTTGTGAAAAATACTTTTGCAACTAGTCAAAAACATGATAACCTCCCCTTGAACTTCT